AGACAAGGAAACCTCTCATCACCATGTCCTTTGCTTGATAAAGATGTATAGACAGTTGCCCAGCATAAACCTGTGGATGATAAAACTTCATGGAAAGCATAATTCTTTACTGGTTTGAGGATTATGAAACAGGTGACAGGGGTTCATGCCTTAGATACTATTGTATGGTGAAGGGATTGATTTCTTCACCACTAAGAACTCAAAAGCAGCAGGGGCTGTGTTGGCACATTATTTCCCCAATTTCTGATCCCCCCCCACCAACACACTGACTCATAAATGAACCACATGGCCTCTGTCTGAAAGACTGAAATGAGATGTTTTGTTGTTCAGTGGGGTGGAAGGCCATAGTTGTGTTCTTTAATTGGCATTGTGATGAAGTTGACATCTTATTTTTTTTCAGTCATAGGCAGCCCCATAACTTACTATGCTACCTCTCTCTTTCTATGAAAGGTTTCTCAATTTCAGAAGAGAACAAAATGTTCTTCCACCAGGGTTTAACTGTGTTTTATTGAATATACTATGTTGGCATAAATCATGGCTTTGTGACCTCATCGACAAGGTTTGTTTAGCATGCTAAGTTAAGAACAGACAAACCACAGTATGACTTAGTTTGTGGACCTGTTGATTGATATCTGAAGATCTGAGTTCGGGGACAGGATTTTCTTCATATTTTCCTAAAGCTAAAGTTTGTTTCATTAAACAGCCACTTTAATGCATATTACTGCATTATTAGCATATTAGCTGCAAACATTGTTAATCATTCTTATATGCAGCAAATTGTCTTTAAATTTACTGTTTTTCTTTTTTACTTTTAAAAGGAATCAAAAAACATGGAACAGAAACAAAGAGCCCACAAACCAAAAGTGAAGTATTTGTAAACCGCTCTTATGTCCCTAAAATAAAATTGCTTGACTTTACTAAAGTAAACCAAGCATTGGGACATTTGATGCAATAAATATTCGTAACATTGAATCAACAAATAATGTAGCAAGCAAGGGGCCCTTGGTGCTCTCTGAGCTCGTTTCCTTGCAGACTTTTCATTACCAAACTAGATAACATCATCAGTGCTAGTGCTAGCTTAGGTAATTAAATGTCTGCAAGAAAACAAGCAACCACAGAGAGCACCAAGGACCCCTCATGTCAACCCTGAGCTACAAATATTTTCCTTTATTAGTAATATAGCAAGTGTTAGTAAAAACAGTGTGATTGTGAAACGTGACTTGGTTGTGGCAGTAAGAAACTTCAAATGGCATATTTTGCTTAATTGAAATACTACATAATACATTAAGTATTTATATAATACATAAAGTATATACAATACATTAAATATTTATGTAAAGTATATGGGAAAGAATTCCTACTGGGCAACTGAAGTGTTCATAATGGGGATTCTATTATCTTGGAATCTCAAAATTTAAAACTTCTGAAGAATAAGTTAAAGGCAGCAAATCTATGGAGGGTTTCAGCATCTCATGATTTTTAACTCAACTACTTTCCTACAGTTCCTACCATGTTTCTCTGTAACTGGTTTCACTGTCAAACTGTTCTTATTGTTAGAAACAACTTTACCATTCAAACTTCCTGTGCATCTTTTCATCACTACTCATTATACATCATGTTACATATTGGACTAACACAAGCAGATGTGCTAGTTTGTTAAAACAACAAAGAGTATCTCACACTTTAATTTATTACAGCACATAGTATTGTTTGAGCATTTATTGAACTGGTGGAACTTCATGAAATCTTATGACATTGTATATTTGTTAAGCTAAAAGGTCCCCTACAACTCTTTTATTAAATTCAGAGAAGTAGCAGTATACAGGACACTGAATCCGTAGGTTGTAAATACGGAAAATGCATTTGTGAATAGTAATTTATTCTGCATCTACTACTGTATGACTTTTTAATATTTATTAATCTTTAAGAAATTTTTCACAATCTGGTGTTCTGCTGCCATCTTGTGGCAATTGTGTGTTGATTTTTTTTTTTTTTTAGAGGTATCTGTTAAAAACATTTCCCCCTGAATCACACATAATAACCTTTTCCAGATAAAACCATAGATCCAAGAATGGTCAGAATGATATCCATGACACCATCACCGGACATGTACAATTTCACTGGATCTCAGTTTCATTTAATGTTACAGTTTAGTTGCACTTTACAGTATGCAACTAAAAATAGAAAAAAGGGGCCAGTTTGGCGTAATGGTTAATCTGTTGGCCTAGAAACCAGGAGACTGGGAGTTCTAGTCCTACTTTAAGCATGAAAAACTGGCTGGGTGACTGTAAACCATCTCTCTTAGTCCAACTCATCTCACGGGGTTGTTGTTGTAGAGCAGGGGTGTCAAACTCGATCCCATTGCAGGATGTATCGGGATTTTTGTCTTTGGAGGGCCGAGGTGGGCATGGCCTGGTCGTCATGGCTGATTGGGTGGGCATGGGTGGGGTGGGCCGGGGTAAGGGCGGCACAGGCCGATTCCTTGCCGTCTCCAGGATGGCAATGCAGGATAACTCTGGGCCTATCACGGGCCGGATTTGGGCTGCGGGCTGCGTGTTTAATACATCTATTGTAGAGAAAAAAGATGAGGAAGGAGTATTGGTATGTTTGCCACCATTAGTTGTACATAGAAAAAAAAGGCAATACAAAAATCTAAAAAGAAATACTAAAGCAATTAGAATCAAAGATCTGGCATTGTTGAACACATGCAGGAGTGTAGGGTGTGGCTGGTGGGGTCATTTTCCCTTGATGGATCTGCAGTCATATCTGGAAGAACCCTATCATGACTTTGGTGATCATTTTTTCTCTCCTTTCTCTGCCCCCAACATACAAACATATATAGATGTAAGAACTGGAAAAGTCCATTTAATCCAACCCTTCAAGCAGGGATGGGATTCTACCAGTTCGCATCTATTCTCTAGAACCGGTTGTGAACATTCTAAGCAGTTCGGAGAACCAGTTGTTATAAGAAATTACTGGCCTAATCCTGTAAGGAAGTCAGGAAGGAAACATTCTGGTGTTGCTTACAGAAACTGCCTCTCCGTTAACCCTTATTACATTTTTGGCAGGACTAGACTTCCTGTCTCAAGAACTTCTCTGGAGTTTTTTCCCCCCTCCTTTGTTGGTACTTTGCTTGTGTGGAGTGACCATTCAAAGTTACAGTGGCACTGAAAAAAGTGACTTATGACCATTTTTCACACTTATGACTGTTGCAGCATCCACACAGGCGAGGAGATGCATGCCTCGATGTAAGTGATATTGAGTTGGCCACGCCCAGCCAATAACATGACCACCAAGCCACGCCCACCAACTAAGCCATGCCCACAGAATCGGTTGTTAAAAAATTTGAATCCCACCCCTGCCTTCAAGATATGTAATCCAAATAAAGTAGTCTCAACAGACAGCTATCTAAATTCCCCCGTGAAGTTACATCCAGGGAAGGAGAACATAACACCTTTCTCAATTACTGGTTCCATTGTCATACTGCTCTTACTGTCAGAAATTTTTTCCAACATTCAAAGACCCTTTCCCCCTCCACTCATGTACATACCACATTACATATTAATGTTGAAAAGTTCTATTCTAAAAAGTGTCAGTATACTGTTTTGGAGTGTTCTGAAAAATGACGAAATAATTGGCAAACTTATTTCTGAGGTTGTACCATTTCAGTATCATTTCAAAAAGATCCCATATGCCAAATTAGCTTTCTGTGGGATCAGACGTTCAATGTGTTCAAAATTCCTATAATTAAAGAATGGGTGTAAAGAGATTTCTACCATAGGGTGCCCACTTTCACAATGCCATCTCTTATTCCTGGAGCGATGCATAGGCATGAATTGAAATAACCTATTTAAGCATTACTGTGGAGGTTTAACTAGTATTTCTCAATCTCAGCAACTATAATCTGGTTTGAAAATTCTGGGAAATGAAGTCCACACACCTGAAAATTGCAGGGTTTCTCGAAACTCTAGTGTGGAATCTGGCTCTTCTTGCCCAAATTATTGTAAGGCTTGAAAATTCACATATTAACAATTATTCAGATCTTTCTTCCCTGAATTTTTGTTTCCTTGTTAAATAAAGAGACTACACAGCCTATAACAGCATGGACATGGTTTCACCAAGACCTTGAAAATCACGAATTTGGTCCAGTTAAAAATAAGCATTAGATAAATGGGTTCTAGGGAGAAATCTACTGTAAGGAATGAAAATAATTTATAAAATATTTTCCCAACTACCAGATTCATGCCACTTATTGGAGGATCTGACTGCCTCCAACTGAGAATACTTATATATTGTCTTTGCTAGTACATTTCACTCCTTTACTAGCAATCTGAAGACAATCTGTGAACTTATTAAAATGTGTTGATCTCAAAAAGCAAAACATGTTTTGGAGTCATAAAAAGAAAAAAACCTCCTTGGGTTTTTTTAAATCTTCCTATAAAAGGGGCATAAAAATGTTTTCTCCCTCACTATCTACACATTTGACTTACCTTCTGTGCATTTGTTCAGCCCTTTATATGGAAATCCCATTGAGAAGGAACCTGTTAAGCCATCAACCTACCTTCCCCCAATTAGTTAAGATTAAGAGAGATGGGATAACTTAATACTTCTGCCACTATGTTCCTAAAGTCAGCAGAGAAAATCGGCTGTGGAGAAATAGATGTGTTTAACACAGCCTCAAAAAATATGCAGAAAATGGTAGAAAGGACATATTTCTAGGCTGAAACAGATTGAAATAGTACTTGCAGGATGGCAGGAGGTCTATGTTCCAGTTCTAGATGCAATATCTGAAACTAACCCTGAAATGTTGGACTCTTCTGATACCCGTGTGCACCATATCAGCCAAAAGCTCTTCTACTCAAAGAACTCCTTCCCGATATCCATTGTGGGGAGGAAATCTAAGAGAGAGGGAGGGAGGGAGGGAGGGGAGACAAGAAACTGACTGTCTACTCCCACCAGACACAGGTTTTTTGTCCGTCAAAACAGCAAACTACAGAAGTTTTGAAGTGTTCAGAACAAGGCAGGCAGCCCAGGTCACAACAGTCAGTAAGTCTGGGGCGTCAATATAAAAAGCCGGTCTTCCTCCTTACGGATCCACTTCATCAGCTTGTTGACACTGCTGACAGCTGCTGCTTTGGTCCCCATGGGGCTGAAGCATACGTAGAGTTCAAAAGCACTGGTCACCTGGAAAAAGTTTCAATTTCTATTATGATGTGCAACCAGAGCAAAACAACTCCTCTCATGTTACTTGTCTATGGAGATTCTCAGTCATCTGGCTCATGGTTGTCCCCAAAGTGCTTTTTCAAGAGGCAACTGGGCTTTCTGGTTTTCCTTTGAAGATGTTTTACCTCTCATCCAAGAAGCATCCTCAGATCTTCCATTTCCTACCATCCAGTCAGAACTGAGGAAGCTTCTTGGATCAGAAGTGAAACGTCTTCAGAGAAAAACTAGTAAGCCCAGTTGCCTCTTAAAAGAACATCTTTGGGAGTACCATGTTACTGTTGACATGCAAAGCAAATTGCCCCTATTGTTTTCATTGCATACAGATAACTGTTGCCATGTTTCATTGGGCCATTTGCTCTAAGTGAAGAAGTGTGCAAGGTTTCAGTTATACTAATACCCTAATACTCCCAGGTAATAAAGTTATTTGGGACTAAATCCTGCTTTTACTACAATTTTTCTAGAAGCTGCGGTAATGAAATAGATTCTTACCCAGGCCAGGAGATTTTCATTGGATCCAGTATAATAGATGTTATTGAGAGGACGGGCAGAATTGTGAGCTCGGCTATGCAAGTACTGATACAATTCCAGGAGCCTTTCCTTTTCTTCCTCAGTGATATAAGGAGCTTCGATCTCTGGGCTGGAAAAAACACACTTTCACTGAATAATGCTTTTTGTCATAAAGGTAAATCAAACAACTAGGGTTTTTTTTGCCTAAGAGAAATTTTTTTACTTCAGCAGAGTTTACAGCCAGTGATTTTACTAAATAATTGTTCCCTACTCCCAATTTCAGGATGAGCTACCATTATTAGAGCTTAAATTTTATTAATATCAGATATTGTTGAGAATTGCGTTCAGGACCTTGTTTAGACTTAACAATTCTAGGGTCACATATGTCTCCCTCAGGTAGAGAACCTGTCTAAAAGACAGTATGATTATATTTATATGCTATAATGACAAATTCTTGACATTCTATTATTTATACACCTTAAGAGTACTTGTATTGGAAATAAGGAAAAGAAAACATTAGTCTTTCAATATTAGTTATAATTTAGGATATCAGTGTTATTATCCAGCATTAAAATTATTTGATTTTTTTCCATTCAAAGTCAAGGATAACATTGGCAAGGAAAAATAAATAAAAAAGAACACATTCTAACTTGTATCAAGGTATTTGTTGTATAATAAAGATTTTGAACTTTTGTACGTTTTTTGTGTACCCAAATTGTTGTTTTGATGTCGTAAAAGGAAATAAAATTATCTCTGATCTTGCCTGGTTCTTTCTCCAGGTCTTATTTACTTCTTGTGTAGGCCTCAGCACAACAAAGGCAAAATATACTCTGTGACTCAACAAACCTGGAGACTACTTTTCATAACCTGGGTATAGATATTTGTATACAGAAGGTCCACAGGTGGAAATAGAGTGTACTCTTTTCTGTCTGTAACACTCAATTTTTTTTTGGTTTCATCCCAGAAGAGACTGCTAGACCGGAAGGATAGATTTGATCATTATCTCCCATGTCAGTTCAGGAAAAGGATTCTACAAGCAATATTTTCAAAGTGCATCTACAGTACTTACCTATCTCCTCACAATTAATTTATAGGTGTAATTTATATTGGACTCTTGAGGATATAAAATGTCTCCTGAAAGTGTGATTAGACTATTCAATTAGACAACAAACTCTATGGCAAAACTAGGTTCTTGGGTGCTGTTTTTCCATAGGATTATGCAATTAACCACATTGTCTTTCTCATTTGTAGCAGCACCTGACTACCCATGTTAACTTTTCATTGCTGTTCACTAAAATAACTATACAGTGGGTTTTGAAATCTGGCCAGTGTTAAACACAACAAATTATTAGCAAGATAGTTCAAATATCTATAACTCAAAAGATGGAATTGATTTTTGTTTCCTGGAGAAATATTGTGCACATCAATTTGTACTTTAATCTGTGTTATTAATTCAGTAGGAGCTAGATATCCCAAGGCTAAATATGGATGCCATTCTCCTGAAATAGACTATACAACACAGACTAAATTGAACCCATCAACGCAGATTAAATCAATCCCATCTATCCTTGCAGAGTACTAGAGAGAAGCTGGAAGGTGGGTGTTGCCCAGAATGGACTCTCACCTGGTAAAAAGTCCTGAACTCTTAGATTTGTAGATGAAATGTCGAAGGTCTGGAATTCCCACCTGGGAGACACTGTAGAAAGGAGTCCGCACTGCTTCCAAGAGAGCACGATGAACACCACGCTTCTTTAGGTGTTCTTGGAATTTTTGCTTGCAGCGAGATACAGTAAAGAAGTCCTCACGATCAGTAGAAATCAGGACAAGGCACAGGTCAACGTTTGGTTCCAAATAAGAAATGTGAGCGTGGAAGAAACCATTGGAATTGAACTTGGGAAGGCATATTGGAGTCCAACCTTCTCCTTCTCTAAATGAGGAGGATGAGCTAATGAGATTAAAGAGCAAGTGGAGATCAATTGGATGAAGGAATTGGTCCCTTTTCCTCACAAGTGATACCAATTGGTTTTTTGACAATAAGATGGCAAATACCAGGCTTTTCGCTTTGGCTTGTTGAAGGCAAGCACTCACCACATCCCTGACTCCAGCAGCCATAGGCAGGCAACGTGCCGCCCCCATGAGAAAACTGGGGTCTCTAGCCATCAGGTCTACCAAGTTGTCAGTTATACGCTCAGAGCCTGCTAACAGTCTCCTTAGATCATAGTTCTGCTTCTGTTGGAATATCCGGTTAAGCTGAGTCAATGTCAAGAGACTGACTATCTGGTAATAGATATAAAGGAGTTCTTGAGCAATTTCTTGCTCTGACTGACGAGTCTGAGCCACTGCAACAAGCACCAGGGGACTCTTGCGCAGAAAGACCACCTTGTATCCATCTGGCAAAGAGTCAAAATGGAGAGGGAGAGAATGAGAGAAAGTGCGTCAATATTTCGAGCTATAGTGGTAACCCTAAGGTCCCTTTTGAAAATAGTTACTTCAGTGTGGGTTACTCTTGGGAACTGCCATTTCCTGATAACGATTGGTCTTTGTGTGCTAGAGATGCAATCTAAAATGGTACAAACTATAGGTTTATTAGTTCTATGAGAAGTAATGGGAATTAATTAACATTATTCTTAGGTTTTGAAAGTTGTTACTTAAGAAGTTTTGACTAATTCTCTTCCACCTATAGGTTGGACACTAGCATCCAGCCATGTTCTTCTGTCCGAACATGGATTTTGCTCAGTTTTATTATAAGTTGACTTTGGATCTGCTCTTTACAGAAACATTCTATTTCGTTAATCTAGGCCTTACCTGATGCCAAACTAAAGATGAAATAGCATATTATCAACTTATTAAACTTGTTAAGTTCAACCGAATTCCCCTGCCCATCTTAAATTATTTCTTTATTAATTTTAATGTATTTATTGTCTTATTGTTTTAATCTTTTATAATATTGTTTTATTAGATTGTAAGCCTCCTAGAGTCAGATGATAGTGTGATAGGATGTGAGTACATTTAATAAATAGATAACTTACAGAAACATTTTTGATAATTTTGTGTAAAAGTCAGCACTATGTCATACTGATACCTCTGCAGAAGACTGACTCTCATTTCTTCTGTCTTTCTCTCATACCATATTCTATTTTCCAACAGGCCTACTATGTTGGGAAGAAGTGAATGAGTACCTGCATGAATTGATCTCATGGCATTCTTCTCTGCTTCTACAAAGGAGACCAAAGCCATCATTACTCCCATGGTAGTAGACAAAGCCTCTTCACACCCATATCGTGAGTATATGGGCTTGCCTGCCTCACTTAGAACAAAGATATGTTTCTGATGCATGCGCCAGGCCTCCATGGTTATATCTTCTTCTTCTTTCCCTGATAGGACTGAATCTCGACGTGAACCTTGTGGCGAGAGTTCCAAATTGTCTTCATTGTTCTGCCTTATCTCTTCTTCTAGGTCCAGTGCTATACCAGTAAGTTGTGTGCTTAGTTCACTGAAATCCTTGCTGATCTCTTCTATCTTGAGCTCATCACTTTGAGACTCTTCCCTCTCATCTGAGCTCTTGGGTGCTGATTCTGTATTGTCTGTACCTGTTAGGTCCTCATACGACCTAGTGTGAACAAATATGGCTCCCTCTTGGCCTGCCCCTGATAAACAATATCAGAATAAGTGGTCAGTTTTTCAGAACAGAACTAGGTAACAGTTTAAGCTGTGACAAAAGCATCACAACAGAATGACTTGCAAACTTCCTCAATGCATCGCCCTATGTAAGATGGTAAATAAATCATGATTTTTCTTTAAACTTGTGCTAAAATTTCTGTTTCTGTGCTTTGTGTTAACTAAGGAACAAGGGGTTACATTTAAATATTAAAGGTTAGAAGATTGCATTTATTTTAATGAATATTCCATACCACCCTTACCATAATGGATGTTCTTCCTTTGAAAATAATGTAAAACTGGCAGATCTTTTAATTTTAATATTTGAATGTGATAACTAATACCTGAGCTCAAAAGCTTTTAATTCTTAGCCAGGAATTGAAATTCATTATCTCTCTTCCTTAATTAGGGCATGCATATTCCTTAGGTACATTTAATATATTAGTCAAAGAAGGCTGGATGTATTAAGTATTTCAAAGCAGTCAAAGAAAAATTGAGCATTAAATTCCCAATAATAATCTGAAATCAAGTTAAGAATCTCAGAGTCCTAGCTTTATAGGAATATGACCCATTAAGCAGAAACAGTGGTTTTCATTCTATGAAAATATATAATTTGGGATTAATTACTCTCAGAATTTGAAATCAGGATTATCTGCTCATGTATTATTCCAGATGATTTTCCTCCCCAGTGCCATGAAGATATGTTTGTTTTGTAGTTTTTTCCCCACTCTTTTCTTGCTACATGCTTGGATATGTTACAATTATTCTTCCTAATAAAACCTAGGAAAATGTCCACACTTTTTCATATCAGCCTGAGACTAGGATTTTGAGTAGCAATTTAGTGGATTTTTAGAGTTGATGTAATCATACGTTTATAACTTTGCCATCTGCACTGGCTGTCCATCTATTTCTGGGCCCAATAAAAAATGTTCACACATTAACATATAAAACTTAAACAGCTTGAGATCAGGCTGTCTGAAACAGCTTCTCCAGTAAGGCAGGGCAGGTAGCAAAGACTTTCTCTGATTTGCACAAAATACCATCTTCTGAGAAATTGACCTTATATCTATATTATGATAATTTTGACCCAGGTAAAGCTATTACTTTCCCAGGCATATGAAGTATTGTTTTTTCATTTTTAATGTTAGTGTTTTGTTGCCATTTTAGTGTGATTGTGTACTACATTTAATATTTCTACACATTGTATTGGTTATGGTGCTCTCTATGCAGGGTTTTATTTTGGAATGGTTTTCATGTGGAAAATAGATCACTTGACTGGATTTTATAGGCAATAATGATTGCTGCTTTCTGGCTGTCCTGTTTTTCTTAATAAACTACCACTATATAGAAGTCCTTCTCACCAAAAAAGATATTCATTAAAAATAGAAAAAGAGGAAGAAGGTCTTACTATCATCTAAAATAGAACTGATTATAATGCATACCCATACTCTCTGAATATATCACATATATATGAAAAAAGAGTGAATGGATTAACAGGAGAGGAAAGATTAAGATGTTAAATGGAGTTGATGAGATTCCCAGAAAGGAAGATTAAACAAAAAAATCAAAGAAAATGTATGAAGCAGTGAATTGGCATATTAGAAACAATAGTCTGTGACAATACAAAGGTAAGCTGAAGTATAATGCATGGTTTTAGCATCAACTAGATTTACTTACATTACCTTTTCTTTATCTCATTCCTTAATTTCTTTGGGTTATTATTTCTTACCCCATTTCTGAGTTTGACATAGGTCTATTTATCCCCTACCCCCAAAATAATAACGTGATTGTATATGTGTGTTGTGTGTAATAATAACATTATTCCACATAAAATGCACAATATATGTCTACTGTAACTCACCTGGTTCTGTTCCCTGGGTCAGTCCTGGGGTTGGACTCTCTGACCTCTCGGACTGCTGTCCATCAGACGGTGCTAAGGATCCATTGGGCACATCTTTCTTCTTATAAACATCTGCAGCCATTATTAGAAACCGGTGGAGACCTGCAAGCAAACAAACCAAACCTACTAACTTTTATTGTCCTGATTTATATATTTATTTATGTGTCTGCCTATCTCATATAATTCTGGGCAGCTCATCATAGTCCCTAAAATTTAGAATTTTCCAGCTTGAATTAATAATCAAGTACATTTGAGTTTCATTCTAGCATACTAACTATATAAGGACACTGCCAGGATAGAAACACTTTAGTATAATTCATCCTTTCAGGATAAGGAATATAAAAGAGATCTATGAAACAGTCTGGTTACAGAGAACATTTTCCCATGTTAACTGATCTGTCAATCCAGTTGCTTGGTTTCACATGAGGCATTGAACTAAATGTAAGGTCTATAAATTAAATGTAGGAGCTATATTTGCATAATGCTCCATGCTACAATGTTGCTGTTTGAATTTACATTTCAATAGGTTATATCAAGGGTCTTCAAACTTGGCAAGTTTAAGACTTGTGGACTTCTGGGAGTTGAAGTCCACAAGTCTTAAAGCTGTCAAGTTTGAAGACCCCCTGGGCTATATGAATATAACCAACACTTCTTTAATGTCTTCTTTAATGTCTTCTGCTCAAAGTATGAGAGGGTTGACATAATATCCAGGAACAAATTGAGCAGCCCAAAGGTTTTCAGATGAAATGTCCTTCCTTTTTCCTCCCTGACCATTAGAAAGTAATGATGAAAAGTCCCTTAGCAACATCTTATAAACTTAAAACTAAGCAAGACAAGTCTTTGAATCCAACACATTTTCAAAAACCTGAGTGACTAATTCTGGTCAGACAGTCAACATGATTGGTTGAGATGATCAGATGTATTGTAAGATATTGATCTAAACAATATGGTTGCACATATGTCAACAAAACTTTGGAAGAAATGCTTTGGATTTAGAGGAAACACAGACCTTTCTGCCATTTCCTGAAAGATATGGAAATTGCTTCAGCCCTTGATCATCTTAATTGGTCTACAAACCTTCTCTAGCTCCACTATATTTTTTTTGAGGTGCAGCAACTGGAGTTGCAATTTTCCACCAATGGTCATATATATTATGTTATAATGTAATCATTACAATATTGACATTTCTACTTTCAATGCCATTTCTTATTATCCCTAACTTAATGTTGGCATTTTTTACAGCAGATCCATAATGCACTGACATCTTTGTAGAACTGTTCACCGTTACTGCAAGAAAATTAATTAAAGCAGTCGTATCTTTTTGGGGACTAGCATAGTACTCTGAAAAAAATGTGCCAGCTTTAACAGAGAGTGCCATGTTTGTTCTGGGTCTAACGCACTTCTGAAACATTTTTTGAATCCCAATGTGGGAACATTAAGCAATCTGATTCTCTTGACATATTTTAGATTTTTATCCGTATTAGCTCTAGCCAGAATGGCCTATAGAAGAGAGTTACAGTATCGTAGTAAAAACATTTGTGAGCCACAGATAACATCTCTCATATGTAGCACATGACTAATTTGGCAGACTTCCTTCTCACTTGCAAGCATCTTTTTCCTAATACTGTGCTTTACTTAACCGATAAGAACATAATTACAGCCATTATGGTTGAAAAGCTTGGATACTTTTGAAGATTAGTATTTGCTTAGAACAGTTTTCCAGGAAAATGTAATCCTTTTTATAATACCTCAATGGGATTTTTTTTCCTTTTCTCTTTTTTCATGTCCAGCTACTTCTTTTCCTGACCTCATCTTTTTTAATCCAGTTTTGTTCCCCCAATTTTTTCTTTCCAATTACCTCTTTCCTTCACACCTTCTCCATACTGTTAGTTTTTTCTTTGTTGCTATGTCTGGGAAAGATTAGATAGATAGATAGATAGATAGATAGATAGATATACATGCATATATATACATATATATATATGCATGTAATCTCGTGTGTTTTCTATGGCTGAGAAACAGTAGTTGAAATGCGCTACAGTGTCAATACATCCTTTATTATAAATAGGACAGTCTTTTATTTCAGAAAGTTGTTTTTCAGATCTTTTATTTTCTCTGCATGGTTTGTATAGTTTATTTTTTATTTTAATGATGACTTTGTCATCATTTTCATAATGATTGTTTTTAGCAATAACGTTGCTATTGCTATTCATTGTTGTATGCCATCTAGAGTCGCTTTTTGTGAGATGGCAATTGTTTAAATGTGAGAAGTAAATAAAATTTAAATGTTTATGAACTTCTTTCAGATTTGCCCTCTTTTCAGGTTTGTCCTTTATTTTTTTCAAGAAAACACGATGATGATAATATATGCAGATGGGGAAATCAACTGGAAATTAATCTCATTTGGTAAATGAGATACCAATTTACTGGCAATTCTTTCTAACTAGTACCGCAGGTATTAATACAACTAATTTTAATACACCATTTTTGTACACCAAACACGCAAACGGACACACACAAAGATAGAAACACAAAAATCTGTAAACACATATATGAGGATATCAGTTGAACATATTTATCAAGAGGAGGGTCTCTGGGATTGGTTTCAATTCTAGCTGGCAATCCTAAATTGGTAGGGAAGCTGGGCACTGCACAAATTTTTATCTGTGTTTATAATTTATTTCCCTTCATTTCAGAAGAGCCATTTTAATTCCAGGGTTGTCTTCTTCCTGGGTAGTGTTATAGTTCTTGTTTATCTCTAGCCCTCTGTAATTCAATAAAGTGTGATTAGTAAAGTTCCTCTTTCATTTTCTCAGTTGCTAACTGATGCCTTATCTAGAAATTATTAAGTGTTTATTGGTGCAGGAGCTAGCCTGGGTTTCATTCCTACACTCATGATTCAGATTTTTGCTTCCCTCTTGACTTCTAGTGTGTATTTGCTTTTGAGGGTTCACAGTTAACCCATTTATATTCTTGATGTCAGGGCATCTTTATAGAACTGGCATACGAGGTAAATAGCTCCTACAAAGTTCTTTATAGGGAATTAGTTCCATGGACTGGTAAAGACTGTTGTATGGAGAACATAAATAAAATTCATTTATAAGACTAAATCTGGAGCTCTATTTAAACTGGTGCTGAATTTATTCTGAAGTGTCATTTGAGTTCACAAGCGAGAAAGAATTACAGCAACCATATCAGAGCAGCAAAAAACTGGGCAAGCACTAAATGGTAGCAAGGCAATATAGACAATTCTAACTTTGCTACCATGTAGTACTTGTTTAGATTTTGGCAACCCAGATAGAATAGCTTAAAAAAATTCCCTGAATGACATAATTTTCCCCCCAGTTTGAGTCCCAAATTAGACTCTAATACCAACAATGGCAAATCAAGCCATTCTCAGTTCTGTATCGGAAAGCATTTCATAACTTTCTGCTAAATATGAACAGGCATCTATGTATCCCTAAAAATATGAATTGGTGCAAATTCTTCTTTCATCCTTAGTTTGCACTCTATACCAAAGCTGGTTACGGGGCGGGGAGGGGGGGGCAATTAAAAGTTATTCTATAAATATTTCAAAATGACATTGTTATTTGTCTGGAAATGAAAAGGATCCTGAAAACCAGTCAGTTGCTGGTAATTTAGATTATTTGAAGACAGACAATTAAATTGCAGATTTCTCTTCATGAATTATTTGTGTTTTTGTACAACCTCTCCCTCCTAAATGATACTGTGAGTTCAAATTAATACATGGTTTGGGCATGTGTACTGATGCTAACTCACTTCATTTTTCTTCCACCATGTGTTATCATAGAGAAAAATCTGTTGGATCACATCAATAACAACTTAAACTTCGGTTTAATTTTCAGACTCTGGTAAATGGCTCTAATCTCATAAGAGAAGGATTTGCATGAAATTTAGTTAAGCTGCATTTCATTGTCATCTGCCACAACAACTAAGTTTCAGTTGCTAGGACAGCGGGGAGAATATTTGCAAAACTCTAGACAACAGGCCTAAACTCTGTATATTTCTTCCTGTTTACACTTTCAGTTCAGGAATATAAAGGGTACTTACAGTTTTGACAGGAACAAGCTGTCGATAGAGAAAACGTCAGTGAAAGTCTGCTTCTCCGTTTGTGGATGAAATCTGAGCAGAAGGGGAAGGACGTAAAGCTCCCGGGGAAGTGGAGGAGGAGTTCAGTCAGCAGAGATCATCTTAGGAAATTCTTCCATTGGAGTCTAGAGCATGTCGTTCAATCTCGCCAGCTGATTCTATCTTCTCCAGCTACAGCCAGGAAAGTACTGGGCACTACCTACTTCTCCTTTTTCAAAGGTCACTTTCTCAATGCCACAGATCCCAGTGCATCTTGGGGATTGTAGTCCACAATTCTGTAGTTTGCTGTTTTGACGGACTAAAAGTGAGATTCGCTTCTAATGGAGAAGTAAAAACGATGCACATCTGCCAACATTTGAAACATAGGATAGATTTAGACTATTCAGAATTTTTGATCTCTTTAGTAATGCTGAAAATATAATAAAATTGATATGGTATTAAACGTGCGATAAATGCATAATTTCTAAACATAAAGAACACTGAGAGGTCAGTGTTCTCATTTTATTTATTTTATTTTATTTATTTTATTTATTTGATTTGCCAATTGTTTACAAGATAATAAGTATAAATGTATACATAGTTGTGAATACATGAAATGGGTACATATAAGAAAAATAAAAGAATAGGAGAAACAATAGGACAGGGACGGTAGGCACGTTGGTGCGCTTATGCACGCCCCCTACAGACCTCTTAGGAAAGGGGTGAGGTCAATATTAGACAGTCTAAGGTTAAAGTTTTTGGGGTTTGGGGAAGAAACTACAGAGTCGGGTAGAGTATTCCAGACATTGACCACTCTATTGCTGAAGTCGTATTTCCTGCAATCAAGTTTGGTGCGGTTTACTTTGAGTTTGTATCTATTGTGTGCTCTTGTGTTGTTATGGTTGAAGCTGAAGTATTCATTGACAGGTAGGACATTGCAATGTATGATTTTATATACCATGCTTAAGTCAGACCGAAGACGGCGTAATTCAAGGTTTTCAAGTTCTAGAATTTCAAGTCTGGTGGCATAAGGTATTCTACAATGAGTAGAGGAGTGGAGAACTCTTCTTGTGAAATATTTCTGGACTTTCTCAATTGTGCTAATATCAGATACGTAGTGTGGGTTCCAGACTGATGAACTGTATTCGAGTATTGGTCTAGCAAATGTTTTGCATGCTGTAGTTAGTAGTGTGATATTACCAGAGAAAAAGCTACGTAGGATGAGGTTAACAACTCTTAATGCCTTTTTGGCTATGTAGTTGCAGTGGGCTCTAGCACTTAGATCATTAGAGGTGAGTATTCCAAGGTCCTTTACAGAGCTTGAGTCATCAACAAGATCTTGACTATTCAGCTTGTATTTTATTTTCTGATTTTTTTTGCCAATATGTAAGACAGAGCATTTATTTGTTGAGATTTGAAGTTGCCATTTGTTTGACCACTCTGATACATAGTCAAGATCTTTTTGTAGGGTAGCAGTATTGTCTGTGGTATTGAACAGCTTTACATCATCAGCGAAGAGAACGCAATTGCTCTTAATATGATATAGACAAAGGTACAAATCTTATATCACTTTTTATTTTGATGTTTTGAGCATCACACGTACATTTTCTTAAAAATATTTTTTTTCTGGGGTTGCTTTCCAAAGAAGAGATTCTTTGGATACTAAAGAGGAATTATTACAAAACCTTGCACCAGTTAAAGAAATATAATTGTGATCTTCTGTGTCAGTTTTAAAAGGGAACACAAGACAAGGCATCATCTATTATTACAATTAAGCAGCTGGATTTAAAATACCAAAACACTATTTTTGTTTCATTCTATATTCTACTACTTGGTTTGGTATATGGCAAAGGATATTTCATTATTTCTACATTTTAAAAAAAACCTAGGATAAAGCAAGCCTCTTCCAGATTTTCTCAAATTAAGTCCAAGTTGGTGTCCCTTCCATGATATGCTAGAGCTAGACATTACATTTATGGGATTGTATAGCAATTGCTTATGGTATTTGTGATATGGCTTACTCAACCAAGAAAATGGTAAGTTAATGAGTTTCAGTTTGGAAGTGATGCTCTTTCCTCAAGACATATTAGAGAGAATGAACTGTGGTTAGCAAATGTTGCCAAGTAATTAACATAAATATAGGCTGTACAGAGAATAAAAATATGTAAAATAGAAAAGATCTGCTAAAAACTAGAGAGATAAATATAAACATTCATGTTTATTTACTAGCTAAAATGTTGTCCAAAGTAGGTTGATTACAATTAAGGTAAAATATAAAGTTTTCCCAAATTTAATAGAATCGTGCCCCCTTCCTTTAGTGTTTCATTATTTTAACTTTATCTGTAATGTTTTCTATTGTGGCAGTTGAAAAGATCATATTAATCCACACAGTTGCTGAGTTATCTAAACTTTTGCAGTGTTGGGCAATTATTAGCTGCTAAAATTAAGTAGAAAATAATTTCCTTATTTTCCTCATCTTGAGTTTTGGTCCCATAAGTAAGTCCGGTGACTCTAACTTTGGGGAGCATTTAATTCCTTGTTCAGTGATAATGCTTATCTCCCCCCCAAATATATCAAAAGGATATTGTTTCATATGATGCATTATATTTTTATTATGAATTTTTTACATATAACATATTTTACACATAATTCAAACATATCTACTGTAATAATCATATTTTCCGCACAACAAATTGACTGCTAATTCATAATTCATATCCTTCTTCTTTTATTTCTAGTGATATATTCATGAAGCGTATGCTCTTGGATTCTTCTCCTGGTTCCTGGTTCCATGTGCTTCCCATCTTCAAAAAAGAAAAAAAAAGTGGATCCAAGTAACAACAATCAGCCTGACATCAATGCCTGGAAAAGATAATCAAGAAACAGATCTGTGATCTGGAAGCAAACAAAGCTATTACTAAAAGCCAAGATAAGTTTGTCAAAAGCAGTCCATTACCAAACAAATATTATTGCTTCTTCGACAAAGCTACTGCTATAAACATAGCATACTTGGACTTCAGTAAGGCATTTGATTAGGCAAATCACAGCCTACTTCTTGGTAAGATTAAAAAAAAGTGGGATAGACAGCATTATGACCAGATGGCTTTGTAACTGGCGGACAAATTGTAGTCAATATGTACTTTCTTCATCTGTATGGAGTGGAATATGCAATGGAGTACCAAGGTTCTGTCTTAGGCCCAATACTCTTCAACATCTTCATAAACAATGTCATTTTGTTCTCAGGATTTGATGTTTTAACACAATGCAGCTCACATTTATAAGGCCATGGCTTAGAAAGTTTTAATATTCATAAAGATGTCTGTAATGGTAGGCGTGGATAAATTAATTATGTATTCAGGGATGAGATATTTGCAAACGTCAGATTAAGAGGCGTTTGCTGTATTTTTCCATTCTCAAATTATTCCCGATTTTACTTTGCCAGATCTTTGATCTTACTCGGTGATTAATGTAACGCCAAATTACATTATGAGTCGATTTAAAAGGCAGAAGGAAAACATTTAATACAAAACATCCTCAGGGGCGACCCAAACGCGGGCTCTTCGGGAAAGAACGCAGCCCGCCTTGATTTTACGCGAGTCTCCTCAGGCGCAAACCCAACCCACGCCCCGCAGGACGTAGGGGCCGCGCGTCACGTGGCAGGATGTACCGGAACTTCCGGTTCCGTCTGGCTCGGCGCTGCGGCTCTGCTGCGGCTCTGCTGAAGGCCCCGAGAGTGGCGGTGGATTGAGCCTGCCTGGTGGGCATTTATTTTTCCTCAGGATCCTCGCGCGCGGCGGCGGGGAAGGGGAAGGGGAGGTGGGGACGTGCTTAACCGTTGCTCATCGCCTGCGTCGGAGCGTCACCAGCTCTGGAGTTGGGGAGGGGCGTCAGCGGGGGGTGGTGGTGGAGGAGAGGGAAGGATTGGCCTGGGAGATACGATACGCGGGAAATGCGCTCGGCACTGACAGGGCCGCGGCCGAGGCTGAGTCTCCCGCACGTTCAGCCGTGACGCCTCGGAGCAAATAGAGAGGCGGGGTGGGGGCGGTTTTGCTTTGTTTTCCGAAGGTGAGTTGGATAAAGGGCCAAGAAAAAATAGTTTGGGGAGAGAGGGTGTTGCTTGTTGTAAAAAAACGGAAGGGCGACCGGGGTCTCGGGCGGTTACCTGAGAGGTTGGAGTCGACAAGAACGCATCTTAAAAGCCTGTCTCTTCGGTTAACGGCGTCGGAAGACGTCTTTCCCCGATTACCTTGAGAACCGCTGCTGCTACTACAGGCCCAGTTGTTATACCTCTGATCTTTGTTTAGGGTAGCTTATTCCTTCTGCCGTCGAGGAGCATTGCAGTTTGAATAGGAGCAGTCAGTAATTTGAAGTAATGGTGCAGAAAGCGGAAGCGGGTTTTTCTCCCGTAGGAAAATCGCTGCTGTTGAGCCTCTTTGTATAGAGCTGTTATATTTAATTGGGCTTAGTAGGGCTTCTTTGGCTCTCTAGTGAGGTTATGTAGTCAGATCTGTTCTGTTCATATCGTTAATTAAAATAGTTATTTGTCAGCCTGTTTCCACTTCGTTGTACAGATAGAATCCCTTTCTAAAATGGCAACTGTTGCATGTATTCACCCCCCCCCCCCAAATTAAGTGTTACACAATTTTTGTATGTTTGCATTAATGTGAATTGGAATGCTTGTATTTCAGGCACAAATTGAATAAATATAACCAAAGCAAATTAAATAGTATCATTAAACCATACTTACATTTGAGTAGTAAAATATTTATCAAACATAAATTGTTAGCGTTAGATCTATAATTGGTAAAAAAAATTATTGCTAGTAAGGCATGCCTGCAAATACATGGTTTATATGGTGCAAAATTTTTTATCAGGTTTTGTATATTTGTTGCTCATACAAATAAAGCTTTAATTACTTAACATTTTTTTAAAAATGATACTGTTAAACGTGAATTTAAAAAGATAGTTTTCACAGGTTTGTTGAACATTGAGCAGTGGTGCTTCTAGGGAAAATGGCTTCATTATCTAGACAACAATGCTGAAGAGATCTTATCCTATATGGCAAGTCTTGTGCATCAATCAGTTAGTGATAAGTAAGGGAATCCTGTGTATCTGTTGGAAACTTCAGGCTCTAATGGAAGCTGTTGAACTTTTAGAACATCTTGGGTTTAAATGATAAAGACCTTTAAAGTTAATATTTTGAATTGGGTTTAAAAACAAAGGAAGTCAGTGGAAGTGGAAGAAAAATAAACAAAATATACTCCCAGGAGCTGAATCAACTGAAGTTGCTGAAGAGGTTTTAGGAGTAAGCTTAGAATTTGTAGCAAGGCTGGTAGGCAATTTGTTTTTCTTGCTAAATACATTAGAATCTTGAGCTTGTTGTGGATGTCTTTATCAGATAATTTGCTCTGCTTCTTGTGCTCTGTATTCCAGTTCACTTTTGCTAAACTGAACAAGGAGATTTTGGATTCTTTGTTCTAGGAAACTCTGTATTTTGTGTTAAAAGGAGAATGTCATATTTGTGAAAATAAGAAATAGTGTGCATTTGTCACTGAATTCTATTTAGTAGCTGTGTAGTCTTACTGCTTAAGGATTTTTTTTTCTTGGTTAGAATGTGACCTTACGGGGAAGACAGAATGTACATTAACTGAAAGAACTATTTGTTTCTCTCTATTGATATTTCTAATGTCTGGTTTCTAGGTTTTCATTACTGCATTAAGAAAGAAACTTCCTGTGAATCCTCCCATAAAAGAGCAGTTTGAGGTTTCTATTATACAACACAATGTAATTAAATGAGAGTTTAATTGTTTGAGAAAATAGCAAACTAGCTATCTTTTGTGAAGAAGCAAAAATTGGAGGGGAAGAAGTGTTTACCACATTTACTGGATATAAAAGCTGTTTGATATATACTGGCCTTCAGATTGATTTGGTGATAATAAGGATATAAGCCAATGTATCTGAAAGCCACTAAATTGGAGAGACTGATGCAAATAACTGGAGAAGCCCAAAAATGGTAATTATGTGAGAAATATGCTGGCTTGTTTTCTAGATTATATATTTTAATATACAAATCAGCCATCAATAGATAGAAACCACAATTACACACCATTGAAAGGAGACAATAAAATCTCTAACCCTGACCCCTCCAAACCTACTCTATATAAACAGGCACAAACC